GATTCCTCTGCCAGCTGTGCTGCTGGCCCAGGGGCGCTGGTGGCAGTTGGAAGCAGGAGGAAGGGGACGCTACCTGGAGGCTGCTGGGGATCCTGGGTCCGACCTCATGCCAATGGGCTCTGCTGTGGAACCTCGTTGGCCCAGCGACCTGGGCTCCAGCAGCAGCACTCCCCTGGGCAGGGAGCAGCTCGCTGTATCCAATCTTTGGGCAACCTGCCTGCCTGCAAAACCCGCGCCAATTCCCTCTATTCCCCCCTCCTTGAAAATACATTCAGCACACTACTGAGAAATGAACAAGTGTATCAGCTGGCAGAGCTCTGAAAAATAAGGTGGGGATGTGCAGGAAGGGTGGCATTTTTAATAGGGTGTCAGGGAAGCCCTCCCTGGAAATGTGACATTTGAAGAAAGACCCACATGAAGGACAGACCCGTGTAAATGTCCTGGGAAGGGCACTCCACTGACCAGTGCGTGAGGAGGAAGCCTTTAAAGGGTTTGGGGAGTGACTTCATCAGACATCAGGTAAGTCCTAATAGGACCCCTCAGGCAGCCTTGTAGCTACACATGGGGGTGGGGCAAGGACCCAGTAGGAGGGAGGCCTCTTGGTCTGGGGTCGAGGGCAGAGCCTTGAAGATCAAGCAGGCAGCTGGGAGCTGGGCACAGAAGGTTACAGGACACAGAGCATGGAAAAGGGTTCAGCTGAGCGCCAGGGTGAGCACCAGCGAGGGTGGCCTGGGCTGAGCGCAGAGCCACCCTGAGTGGGGTGGGGGCAGGAGCTGGACTAGGTGAGGGTGTGAACAGGCTGGGGGCTGGGACGGTACAATTGGGTGGAGACTGACCTGAGGGCTAGTGAATGGGGCAGAGACACAGCCCAGGTTCTGGGGAGCAGGGTGGGATAGGGGCCAGGATTAGGGATGAGGGCAGGGGCCCCAGAATGTGTCATTGGGTGGGGCCAGCAAAGGGAGCCTGGTGGCAGGGACCCAAAATGATGGCAGGCTGGGACCTGGCAATATGCAATAGGGCAGGAGACAGCAGGAAGGGCTGCGGGAGGAGCCCAGGGGCAGGGCAGGTAGAAGCCAGGGCAGAATTTAAGTGGGTGGGTTAGGGCAGGGGTCTGGGCGGGGGCAGAGTCACTGAAGCAGAAGGGACAGAGTGTAAGTCAGTGACAGGGCAGTCCCAGGGTGTTCTGGCTGGACGCCAGCCGTGACAGGTGGGGCATCTGTTGCCCAATCTCAGACGCTCCCCTCCCCCACTGTGCAGAGCACTGAGACCAGGCCAGAACACTTAATTCACTTTACTGAGGGATCCCAGGTGACAGTGCACAAGGAGAGGGGCCTAAGTGCTACAGGGAGAAGTTAGTCACACGCGGCGCCCTCCCAGCCCAGACATCTCCGGAAGCTGCTCAGCCTGGGACCAGGCCCTGAAGTCCATTACACCCCAGGGAGGGGGGGCTTCCTCCCCAGCCCCATGCCCACCCTGACCTGATCCAAAGTAAGCTTGTCTCTGTCCCAGGGAGGTCCCTGCAGCCCAAAGGGGCCACCTCCAAGCTGCTCCGAGTCTGCTTCTGCACCCAGGTGTCCCGAGTGGGGCTGGGACAGTCCAGTTGGGCTGTGAGGACACAGCCAGGCTGCCCTGTCTTCCTCCAGGTGGGCAGGGAGGACCCTCCTGGGGATGGAAACTGGGACACAGATACACACAGCCCCAGGAGTGAGGACTTGGAGGGGCAGCCAGTGTAGATCGCTAGTGAGGGAAACACTGAGATAGGCAGAGGGGACCGATGCACAGGTCACCACATGGACACAACATGGTACAAAAGCATCAGCACTGGGGATAGCACTTGGGACAGCACCAGACCAGGTTGCTGGTGGGGTTGGCTCCAGGGCTGACTGTGGCTCTTTCCCTCCTGGGAACATTTTCTCCCCTCTAAACCCAGGTCCCTAGTCACCTCCTACACTGGCGGGACAAGCCCCCAATCCCTTAGGTGCCCCCTCTGGGTCCCCTCTGGCATTTAATTCACTCAGATGGTGAACTGGGAGACCTGTCATCTTAGTCAGGGGCTGCAAAGCCAGCGCTGAAGGACAGGGCAGCCCAAGGGAGGGGGTGGGCAGCAGGTGGGACTACGGAGGGGAGCCACACTCCTGGGGGAGGGGTGCTGCCTGGCACTGCAGAGAGAAGCCAATAGCCTGGGTGTGAATTGCTGTAACTGAAAATGTTGGGAAATAACTAGGATTTTGGGGAATCACTGTGCAGTCTGAGTGGCAGATTCAGCCTGTGGGCACCAGCAGGTGGCCTTGGCTTTGAGGAGCTAATCCATCTGTATCAGCTGCACCAGAGGTGGGCAGGGCTGGTGCGTCTTTCCTTTCTTCCTCTCCCTCCTCCTCTCCAGCTCCTGGTAACCCGTCCCCACTCCTCCCCCACGTCTTTT